ATGTGTTTGTAGTGTCAAACAATTGGGGTGTTGAATCGGTGCATGTGTTTGCAATGTCAAACAATTGGGGTGTTGAATTGGTGCATGTGTTTGCAATGTCAAACAATTGGGGTGTTGAATTGGTGCATGTGTTTGTAGTGTCCAACAATTGGGGTGTTGAATCGGTGCATGTGTTTGCAATGTCCAACAATTGGGGTGTTGAATTGGTGCATGTGTTTGCAATGTCAAACAAATGGGGTGTTGAATTGGTGCATGTGTTTGCACTGTCAAACAATTGGGGTGTTGAATTGGTGCACTGTGTTTGCAATGTCAAACAATCGGGGTGTTGAATTGGTGCATGTGTTTGCAGTGTCAAACAATTGGGGTGTTGAATTGGTGCATGCGTTTGCAATGTCAAACAATTGGGGTGTTGAATTGGTGCATGTGTTTGCAATGTCAAACAATTGGGGTGTTGAATTGGTGCATGTGTTTGCAATGTCAAACAATTGGGGTTGAATTGGTGCATGTGTTTGCAGTGTCAAACAATTGGGGTGTTGAATTGGTGCATGTGTTTGCAATGTCAAACAATTGGGGTGTTGAATTGGTGCATGTGTTTGCAGTGTCAAACAATTGGGGTGTTGAAGTGATGCATGTGTTTGTAGTGTCAAATAATCGGGGTGTTGAATTGGTGCATGTGTTGGCAGTGTCAAACAATCTGGGTGTTGAATTGCGTTTGTAATGTCAAACAATCGGGGTGTTGAATTGGTGCTTTCCAATGTCAATATTGTGTTAAACATGTCTTTATATTTTCAACATTCAAATGTGAAAAATTTGTGGCGTCTTTGCACTCTGCAATGAAATGGCTATCATTTCAGATATTTTATTCTTTGCGTTCATTTAATAAAGATAAAAAATGTATGGATTTGTCTTGTCAGCGATTTGTTGTGCTTATTTCTTATGTATGTCTTGGGTTTAGCACCGTCTCTAAATTACAAATAAGATTGCTGCTGCAGTGTTAAAATACTTTAAATAAAAGATAATATCCACAACTTATTCTCTGTTGTAAATGCCAATTGAACATTTATTTTGCGAGTTCAACATCAGTGAAATAACAAAATAACTGGTAGACATGCACTTCACTTAACAGGGAAATCTTCTCAGCATTCTTGAAGTTGAAGCCAATGCAATAGCCCTATTAAGAGCTGTGGAGACAGTGCTGGCAGTTTACAATCTCAATTGTTTTCCTAAAAAAGCTACAATTTGTCAACTTTTTAACCATCAAACTTGAAAAAGAAAAATACAATTTGAAAAAATGTTTGAAATCTAAAAAAAGCACTGCACAAATTTCACCTTCATTCTTATAATGGATTAAATCACAAGCTATACACAAATTGCAGGCAGTGAAGCAAATCTTTTGACCTTAAAAAGGTTTCATCCATGCTCTTACTTTATAGAGTTGCATTATCTATCTATCCATAATTTTTAACTGCAACTCAACACAACTTGCTGTCAATCCAGTTCAAATTAAGACTTCATTGCAGTATGTGCCAAGAAGAATATAGTCATTGAAACACATCATGTGCTATATGCAAAGTAAAAACACAGTATATGTAATATCAATTCAACCCATTTTAAAGGTTTTATGAATTGAATTTGTACAGATGTTTGATATAAACTCCTCAACGTAAGTTTGGAAACTTTGAAATACAGATGCATTTCTCAGAAAGTTGAAACATATTTGCATATTAGTAAAAGCTGTAGTCTTCTCTACAACGCCTCGTTTGTGACAATCACTTATTCCATGCACAGCAGAGTAATCAATTATCATCCTTGAAACATGAGAAGGTTTGGAAAAAACAAACACATATTTACCATGAAGATTTGCATAGTGATATATGTGACAGGTGGGATGAGAGATTTGAGCAAATAAAGGGTCATTTGGGAGAAGAAAAAAAAAACGCTTTAACTCATATACAACATTATGCAAACATGTTTCAAATTTTTCAGAAATACATACCATGTGGATGTTTACTCAGAAATCTGTGGAAATTAACTTGGAAAAATACGCACAATTGGCAATCATTACAAAACTGAAAACAACATGCCATTGGACGTGGCCTCTTGTCAGCAAACTTGTCCTAAAATCAGGAGACAAAATATTTGTGATTTTTCAAATATGAGATTGAAAATTAACTGAAAATAAATGTTTGAACATAAAATCAACAATTTCAGTCAATTATCATTATTTTCTCCACTTTTTTAAAAACTAATCCAGACACCCAAATAAAGCATTTATAATTTTCTCAAATCTACATCGACTGGATAACAAATTACATCAACAAATCATCATGTGCTATATGCAAAGTATAAACACAGTATGTGTAATATCAATTCAACCCATGTTTAAAGGTTTTATGAATTGAATTTGTACAGATGTTTGATATACAGACGCATTTCTCAAAAAGTTGAAACATGTTTGCATATTAGTAAAATCTGTAGTCTTCTCTACAACGCCTCGTTTGTGACAATCACTTATTCCATGCACAGCAGAGTAATCAATTATCATCCTTGAAACATGAGAAGGTTTGGAAAAAACAAACACATATTTACCATGAAGATTTGCATAGTGATATATGTGACAGGTGGGATGAGAGATTTGAGCAAATAAAGGGTCATTTGGGAGAAGAAAAAAAAAACGCTTTAACTCATATACAACATTATGCAAACATGTTTCAAATTTTTCAGAAATACATACCATGTGGATGTTTACTCAGAAATCTGTGGAAATTAACTTGGAAAAATACGCACAATTGGCAATCATTACAAAACTGAAAACAACATGCCATTGGACGTGGCCTCTTGTCAGCAAACTTGTCCTAAAATCAGGAGACAAAATATTTGTGATTTTTCAAATATGAGATTGAAAATTAACTGAAAATAAATGTTTGAACATAAAATCAACAATTTCAGTCAATTATCATTATTTTCTCCACTTTTTTAAAAACTAATCCAGACACCCAAATAAAGCATTTATAATTTTCTCAAATCTACATCGACTGGATAACAAATTACATCAACAAATCATCATGTGCTATATGCAAAGTATAAACACAGTATGTGTAATATCAATTCAACCCATGTTTAAAGGTTTTATGAATTGAATTTGTACAGATGTTTGATATACAGACGCATTTCTCAAAAAGTTGAAACATGTTTGCATATTAGTAAAATCACTTATTCTATGCACAGTTGAGTAATCAATTATCATCATTTGAAAATGAGGTTTGAAACAAAACATACCATATTTACCATGAAGATCTGCATAGTGATATATGTGACAGGTGGGATGAGGGATTTGAGCAAATGAAGGGTCATTTGAGAGCAAAATAACAGCGCTGTAACTCATATGCAACATTATGCAAACATGTTTCAAATTTTTCAGAAATATATACCATGTGGATGTTTAATCTAAAATCTGTGGAAATTAACACAATTGGCAATCATTACAAAACTGGAAACATGCCATTGGATGCCATTGGATGCCATTAGATGAAAATAAATGTTTTTGCATAAAATCAACAATTTCAGTCGTATTATTTTCTCCACTTTTTTTTTTTTTGGAACTAATCCAGACACCAAAATAAAGCATCTCCTTGGTAAACTTTCATGCAGAATATACAGTAGCAACTAAATTTTAGTTTTAATTTTTTGTATTAAAGTAGGTCCTTGAGTTTGTTTTCATAACCCATGATGCATAAACTCAAACTTGGGAATGACATTTTCAAAAAAATATTTGTCAATGTTTTGGACAATAGGTACGAGTTTGAAACAACTGAGAGTAGTAAATGAGGTTCAAGTGCCTGGATTAATGTTACATTAAAAAAAAAATTTCCCTGTAAAGTTACTTTATAATGGTGGTCCAAAAAATTGGGTAAAAAGCAGGTTTTTTGTGTGATTTAAATGGAGTCACCAATGGATTTATTGTGTAATTTCCTGTCAGAAAATGTATACACTCATGCACTTCCCATCAGAGTTGTTCACGAGTTACAAGATAAAACATATTGGATAAAACATTATCCCTCCACCACCCTTAATTGATGTACTTGTACAACATATTTACATGAGACAGTCAACCAATGGTATCAAGTGAAATCACAGGGACTCATGATAGATGAAGCATTTGGTTGATTTGGAAACATCAGGTGTCAGTGTTACATCCGCAAATCAACGAAACCAACATAACAATTCTTGGATATCCATCACCAAATGCTTTGAATGCAGGACATTTCTTTTACTGTACAGATTTCTTAAACTTAATTAAAATAATAGGAAACACTTACTTTCTGATAAAAGAAAAATGAAAATGGGCAATTGAGTATTGAGACAACACTGACACATACCATAGGTAAGGTATTTGATAACCTGAAAGGCCAGTATTTCAAAATTCATTCCAATATTATTGGAAGCATCTACCAACTGCACTTGGTGTAGAGGTGTTCTGTGTAATAATCAACCATGATGTGATTTGCAGCATGTACCATACTGATACTGAATTTAGGTAAAATATGAACTCTTTTCCCTAAACTAAAACCTATATCAAATTTTTGTAGTAACACTTCAATACAAACAAAAAAAGAAAAAATGGTACAAAATGCAGGTATGTCGCAATTAATTCAGCTGTCAAAGGAGAGGTCCATCCACAACACCCTGCTTACTTTTTCACATACATCTTTTCCTTCTTCTGCAACCTCTTCCTTTCAAGTTGGTTTAAAGTATGGACTTTGAATTTAACTTCTTTCCAGTTCTTGTCTTTCAGCAGTCCCTTACTCTTTTGTATGATTTGTAATCCAACCAGTTTTCCTGGCACAGTTTTAGTCTTCAACATTTTCTTGACTTCTTCCCTGGATTTGAGATATTGTGTCTGTTCATCTGTCCACCTGTTGTATTTTCTGCCTACACGCTTTACTTTTGCTTGGGTACGTCTGCTTACCTCTTCAAAGACTTCAGACTCTTCACTGTCACTAACTACTGTTTCTGCATCGCTTCCTCCAGGGCTCTTGTCTACACTGATCACGAGGTCCAGTCTCTTCATCACTATATTCAGTCTGTGTGTCTCCCGACATTGTTTGGTCGGTTTCATCTAGATCTACAGTGTCGTCTGGACTCAGCTCAATTTCCTCAAGTGACTTTCCAGCATATTTGTGCATTTCACCTTTTGCAGATATTGTGAGTAGTTTGCTAGCCTTTGCCAACAGCAGGACATCTTGCGGAAGTCTGTAATATTCTCGATGAATACGAACATCATGACCCATCATATTGGCCAACTGCTCTAACTCATGATCATTTAAGTTCAGCAGCTGGGACGTAGTTGCTATATGTTTCCGTAGTCGTGTACACCTGACATTTTCTGGCTTCATAAGATCTGCCTTATCAGTAAGTGTTTTCATTGCGTCACAGGCTCTGTACGGAGTACTAGCAGTGTCACATGCTCGAGAGAATATGTATCTGCGTGGCTCATCATCTCTTTGCCTTTGGTCATGGTAGTCTATTATCATATCCACACTCTGTTTTGTGTTTTCAGTCAAAAAGACTGGAACTCCCCTTCCTCTCTTGCCTCTGACCTTTACCATCTTCAGCCGATTCATTGCTGCCTTCTCTGACATTGTGAGAGTCTTGAAAATTTCATCATGGCATATGTCAGTCTTGGTGATCTGCTCTCTGTATTCATCTACTTTCATTCTTTCTACTTCCCCAGGTCGTCTTCTATTGTATGTTACAATTTGCGCTAGAGTTACATTGGCCAAATCTCTGTATAGATCTGGTGACATGCCAGCTTCTTCTATGTCTGTCTTTATTTCTTTCTCTGTTTCTGCAAGATACTTGTTAAATTGAACAACATCTTGTGTGAGAGGCAGTGTCCTAGGGTTTTTCCAATTCTTCTCGGTGCGCTGCTGCAGTGCAGAGGAAGTCACATGAATGTTCCACTCATCAACAAGCAACCTTTCAAATTCATTGACCGTCTTCACATGGTCTTCCATATGTTGTCTGGTATACTTGCCCCTGACAACCACCACCAGGTCTTTAAGAAATGGTCCAAGCTTGAGAGCAGTAGAGTATGCCCCATGTTTTTGTGTGCCTTCATCATATTTGCTTACAACAAGAGAAGCCTTAACTACAGTATCAAATTTGCTAGGAGTAAGCATGTCTGACGCATTTACAATACTTGTGTCAATGCTTCTTGCTGCTTGTAGAACTTTTGCGACTGTCCTCATTTTTTCTCTGCATGTTTCTTCCTTCTTAGCAGAATTGCTTTTTCCTAAGTGATTCTGTCCAACACCAAGGATGTCTTGATCATTTTTTATTATTAGTGATATATCATTGCAACCCATTGAATCAACTGCTCTGCGACATTGACTTGTTGTGCTATGCTTCATAGGTATAAGAGCTCTACCACTTTTCACATGCATGTTTTTGTTTGTTGCATTGTTCTTGCTTCCATCTTTTGCTTTACAATTTTTTCTGTGAATGTACAGGGAATGAATATGGTAATATCCGTAACAATAAGAGCATGGGACGTAATCATTCACATCATATTTCGCTTTATATTTAGGCCTCTTTGTTACTTTTAAATCCATTGCTTCTCCAATGTGTACCTTTTGATTGTGCTCAAAGTCCCCTAATTTCTTTATTTTTGACCATATTTGCGTTTTTCTGTTATCATCAACTGTTGCCTGGGCTTCTGCAACCATTGACTCATCTGTGTGCTTTCGTAACAGATGGCGTTTAAGCTGTGACTGCTTCTTACCGCAATATAGACAGTATGAATATGAATCCCATTTCCTTGGTCCGTTGGGTTTTGTATTTGATGCAGCTACATATGGCTCATCTTCTTTGTCACTGTCACTTTCTACTATCGCAGGTGCCTTTTTTCCCAGTTTTCGATTAGACTTGATATCACCATCACTTTCTACCAATTTCCTCTTTCCATTGGAGTTGATCTCACTGTCACTTTCAACCATCACAGGTGCCACATATGGCTCATCTTCTTTGTCACTGTCACTTTCTACTATCGCAGGTGCTTTTTTTCCCAGTTTTTGGTTAGACTTGATATCACCATCACTTTCTACCAATTTCCTCTTTCCATTGGAGTTGATCTCACTGTCACTTTCAACCATCACTGGTGCCACATATGGCTCATCTTCTTTGTCACTGTCACTTTCTACTATCGCAGGTGCTTTTTTTCCCAGTTTTCGGTTAGACTTGATATCACCTTCACTTTCTACCAATTTCCTCTTTCCATTGGAGTTGATCTCACTGTCACTTTCAACCATCACAGGTGCCACTTTTTTCTGTTGTCTGTTGGAGTTAATTTCCTGAAAAAGCAAATACAAGAGGCACAACTTTAATTCATTTGGGTGTTTTACATGCTGATGGCAACGAGAGTAAAGTTTAATTGTGACTGAAACTTTCGGTACAAATTTTTATTTTTTCCTCTTTATTTTTCACATTTGATGAGATATTCAGATATACTGTAATCCTGGATACAAATCTGGAATATATCTTTACAATGATGTGTATTTTTGAAAAGTCAACAATAACTAGAGATTATTCGGCTGCATGCAGTCGGCAGGTATTATTCCGCACCCGGGTCCAATTTGTAAAGACACCAGGTATGGGGCCCCGCGAATTTTGAACGCTGATCATGACCCAAAATCTGATAAGTTTATCAGTGCGCAATAATACATACTTTAAGTTACATCAATATCCAATGAGCCATTGTCACATTATCACTAAGCATGATATCTCATGACCTTCGACCTTTCAACCCTGAAATCTGATCAGTTCATTGGTGCCTTATTAACAGATACCTCACCAAAGCCCCATCAATATCCAATTAACCACTTTCAAGTTGTGGTAAAACACCAAGTATAGGGCCATGTGACCTTTGACCTATCAACCCTGAAATTTGATCAGTTCATTGGTGCCTTATAATATATACGTCACCCAAGTTATATTAATTTCCGATAAACCTTTCTCAAGTTATCGTTGTCCAGAGCTCAAGTCAGACATATTTCAGGCCCTGTGACCTTTGAACCCTGAAATCTGAGCAGTTTATTGGGGACTTATGATACATACTTCACCCACATTACATCAATATCAAATAAACCATTCAAGTTATCGTGGTCAAGAGCTCAAATCAGAGCTCAAATCAAATCTGATATCAAACATCCGATCAGCCGGTCATAAGTAATCACGCTAACAAGAAGCGGTAACGGACGGACAATCCAAAAACATGATGCCTCTGGCACCACCTTCGGTGTGCGAAGGCATAAATATGTCAACATTTTACATTGAATTAAGGCTCAATAGACACATGCTTGAGTATACTTCTTCTTTTTTTTACTAACAATTTACACCAAAATTTTCAACCTGGGGCAAAATTTTACAGTAATTTTTAGAATAAAGTGCTGGGCAAGATCATTGTCACCATTGAAGTTATAGGGTAAACTGATGAAATTGTCACTTCATATTATTTCAGTGTGTCATGCACGAGTCATTACTCTAGATACGAGCCCCAATCAAAAATTCTCTGTACCTTCCCAAAGAATTTTGTCCATACAAAAGCAATTTGTATGGTGGTAGGTGGTACAATAATATTAGACTTTGTTTTGCAACAGTTTCTCACACTTAAGGTCATAATGTCCCACAAACCCAAATTTGTCCCAGGAGGGGGCATGGGGGTTCACATTTGTAATTTTGGTGAAGTCCTACCATTGGTCGATGAAGCATGACATAAAAAATAATACTTACAAAATGTCTGACATTGCAAATGTATTCACCAATTCAACACCCTATTTGTTTTACATTGCAAACAAACCAATTCAACACCCCATTTGTTTAACAAAGCAAATGCACCTATTCAACATTCTATTTCTTGAACAGTGCAAACACACCAATTCAACACCCCATTTGTTTGACATTGCAAATACACCTATTCAATACCCAATTTGTTTAACAAACCAAATGCACCCATGCAATGAAACCTTCTATTTCTTCAACTGTGCAAACACACCAATTCAACACCCCATTTGTTTTACAAGGCAAATGCACCTAATGAAACATTCTATTTCTTCAACTGTGCAAACACACCAATTCAACACCCCATTTGTTTGACATTGCAAATGCACCTATTCAACATTCTATTTCTTCAACTGTGCAAACACACCAATTCAACACCCCATTTGTTTGACATTGCAAACACACCAATTCAACACCCCATTTGTTTGCCAAAGCAGATGCACCTATTCAACATTCTATTTCTTCAACTGTGCAAACACACCAATTCAACACCCCATTTGTTTGACATTGCAAACACACCAATTCAACACCCCATTTGTTTGACAAAGCAAATGCACCTATTCAACATTCTATTTCTTCAACTGTGCAAACACACAAATTCAACACCCATTTGTTTGACAAAGCAAATGCACCTATTCAACATTCTATTTCTTCAACAGTGCAAACACACCAATTCAACACCCCATTTGTTTGACATTGCAAATACACCTATTCAATACCCAATTTGTTTAACAAACCAAATGCACCCATGCAATGAAACCTTCTATTTCTTCAACTGTGCAAACACACAAATTCAACACCCCATTTGTTTTACAAGGCAAATGCACCAATTCAACACCCCATTTGTTTGACAAAGCAAATGCACCCAATGAAACATTCAATTTCTTGAACTGTGCAAACACACCAATTCAACACCCCATTTGTTTGCCAAAGCAAATGCACCTATTCATCATTCTATTTCTTCAACTTAGCAAACACACCAATTCAACACCCCATTTGTTTGACATTGCAAACACACCAATTCAACACCCCATTTGTTTGACATTGCAAACACACCTATTCAATACCCCATTTGTTTGACAAACCAAATGCACCTATTCAACATTCTATTTCTTCAACTGTGCAAACACACCAATTCAACACCCCATTTGTTTGACATTGCAAACACACCAATTCAACACCATTTGTTTGACAAAGCAAATGCACCTATTCAACATTCTATTTCTTCAACTGTGCAAACACACCAATTCAACACCCCATTTGTTTGACAAAGCAAATGCACCTATTCAACATTCTATTTCTTCAACTGTGCAAACACACCAATTCAACACCCCATTTGTTTGACAAAGCAAATGCACCTATTCAACATTCTATTTCTTCAACTGTGCAAACACACCAATTCAACACCCCATTTGTTTGACAAAGCAAATGCACCTATTCAACATTCTATTTCTTCAACTGTGCAAACACACCAATTCAACACCCCATTTGTTTGACAAAGCAAATGCACCCAATGAAACATTCAATTTCTTCAACTGTGCAAACACACCAATTCAACACCCCATTTGTTTGACAATGTAAATACACCTATTCAAATCCCATTTGTTTGCCAAAGCAAATGCACCTATTCAACATTCTATTTATTCAACTGTGCAAACACACCAATTCAACACCATTTGTTTGACAAAGCAAATGCACCTATTTTACATTCTATTTCTTCAACTGTGCAAACACACCAATTCAACACCCCATTTGTTTGATAAAGCAAATGCACCTATTCAACATTCTCTTTCTTCAACTGTGCAAACACACCAATTTAACACCCCATTTGTTTGACAAAGCAAATGCACCCAATGAAACATTCTATTTCTTTAACTGTGCAAACACACCAATTCAACACCCCATTTGTTTGACATTGCAAATACACCTATTTAATACCCCATTTGTTTGACAAAGCAAATGCACCTATTCAACATTCTATTTCTTCAACTGTGCAAACACACCAATTCAACACCCATTTGTTTGACAAAGCAAATGCACCTATTCAACATTCTATTTCTTCAACTGTGCAAACACACCAATTCAACACCCATTTGTTTGACAATGTAAACACACCAATTCAACACCCCATTTGTTTGACAAAGCAAACGCACCCAATGAAACATTCAATTTCTTGAACTGTGCAAACACACCAATTCAACACCCCATTTGTTTGCCAAAGCAAATGCACCTATTCATCATTCTATTTCTTCAACTTAGCAAACACACCAATTCAACACCCCATTTGTTTGACATTGCAAACACACCAATTCAACACCCCATTTGTTTGACATTGCAAACACACCTATTCAATATCCCATTTGTTTGACAAACCAAATGCACCTATTCAACATTCTATTTCTTCAACTGTGCAAACACACCAATTCAACACCCCATTTGTTTGACATTGCAAACACACCAATTCAACACCATTTGTTTGACAAAGCAAATGCACCTATTCAACATTCTATTTCTTCAACTGTGCAAACACACCAATTCAACACCCCATTTGTTTGACAAAGCAAATGCACCTATTCAACATTCTATTTCTTCAACTGTGCAAACACACCAATTCAACACCCCATTGTTTGACAATGTAAATACACCTATTCAAATCCCATTTGTTTGCCAAAGCAAATGCACCTATTCAACATTCTATTTATTCAACTGTGCAAACACACCAATTCAACACCATTTGTTTGACAAAGCAAATGCACCTATTTAACATTCTATTTCTTCAACTGTGCAAACACACCAATTCAACACCCCATTTGTTTGACAAAGCAAATGCACCTATTCAACATTCTATTTATTCAACTGTGCAAACACACCAATTCAACACCATTTGTTTGACAAAGCAAATGCACCTATTTAACATTCTATTTCTTCAACTGTGCAAACACACCAATTCAACACCCCATTTGTTTGACATTGCAAACACACCTATTCAATACCCCATTTGTTTGACATTGCAAATACACCTATTCAATACCCCATTTGTTTGACATTGCAAATACACCTATTCAATACCCCATTTGTTTGACAAAGCAAATGCACCTATTCAACATTCTATTTCTTGAACAGTGCAAACACACTAATTTAACACCCCATTTGTTTGACATTGCAAACACACCTATTCAATACCCATTTGTTTGACATTGCAAACACACCTATTCAATACCCCATTTGTTTGACATTGCAAACACACCTATTCACTACCCCATTTGTTTGACAAAGCAAATGCACCTATTCAACATTCTATGTCTTCAACTGTGCAAACACACCAATTCAACACCCCATTTGTTTGACATTGCAAATACACCTATTCAATACCCAATTTGTTTAACAAACCAAATGCACCCATGCAATGAAACCTTCTATTTCTTCAACTGTGCAAACACACCAATTCAACACCCCATTTGTTTTACAAGGCAAATGCACCTAATGAAACATTCTATTTCTTCAACTGTGCAAA